CCGCTCAACCCTAGGAACCATCTCGTGAGGCAGTCTAAAGATAGGGAGCAGAGACATAGGTCAGGCTGGGTGCTTCCCATATACGTACAGTAGACCCTTGCCTAACGAACGCATCGCTTAATGTTAAATCCGCCTAATGAAGCGTTTGATTGTAAAAATTTTGCCCGGCCTAGCGATAAAAAACTCGCTCAACTTGATTCTTCCGGGACCTGTCCACGTGTGGCCTGAGCGCACCTCAGCTGCCCAGTGGGTGCCAGTGTTTACAAGCCAGCCAGTGCAGTTGCATCTACGCATACATTCGGTACATTTCACATTATCCCAGTGTTTTTAGTGCTTGTAACTGCAAAATAAGTCACCATGGGCCCCAAGAAAGCTTCTAGTGCCAACCCTGTGGTAAAAAGGGTGAGAATTAGTGTGGAAATGAAGAAAGAGATAACTGCAAAGTATGAAAGTGGAGTGTGTGTCTTGGAGCTGGCCAGGTTGTATACCAAACCCCAGTCAACCATCGCTACTATCTTGGCCAACAAAACGGCAATCAAGGAAGCTGTTCTTGCAAAAGGTGCCACAACTGAGGAAATAAAGGAAATGTGTACAGTGTGGTCAAATGTGCAAACCTTTGTGGAGGAAAATCACCCTGACACAGCTATTGCAAGCTGTGCTGGTGACTTTTACAATGACAATGTTGTGAACCACTTAAGGAAAATCTTAAAGGAATGCAAGGTACAGAGCTCTATGGACAGATTTTTGGTACAACAGAGGTCCAGTGACTCTCAAGTTGTTCCCAGTGACATTAAAAGAAGGGAAGCAACCCCAGAAAAGGACTTGTTACCTCAAGTCCTAATGGAAGGGGATTCTCCTTCCAAACAATAACTTCCACCATCTCCCCTCCTCCCATCCCATCAATCATCACCAGATCTTCAATAAAGGTAAGTGTCATGTATTCTTTATTTAGTACAGTAGTAATTGTGCATGTCTTTTTCTTTTTGGGTGTATAAAAATGTATATTTCATGTGGTAAAATTTTTTTTTCATACTTTGGGGTGTCAGGAACAGATTAATTTGATTTCCATTATTTCTTATGGGGAAAATTAATTCAGCTAACGATAATTTCGGCTAACGATGAGCTCTTAGGAACGGATTAATATCGTTAGGCGAGGGTCCACTGTATTCCGTTTTAATTATACTCCATTATTGCCTATGTGAGTATCCTTTACCCAATCCATGTTTCGAACCCCACATGACACTGATAGGTGGGGTGATAGTTTGTCCCCTGATGATGGTCTCCTTGGGCTGGCACATGACGCACAGGAAGTACAAAACATTGGCATTCTTCATATCCCTTGACTTGAGGACAGGTGGGGCCACGGGTTTTGTGACTCCTGGCCTTCAGCCTGAGGGGCCTCTGCTTCAGCCACAGCCACTGCAGACTCCTCAACAACACCCTCAGGCAGAACAGAAACATCTCCTCACTTTATAATGATAAGTGACAACACACTCTGGTGATCACTGACACTCTATGACTATAACAGTGCTGCTCAGCAAGATGCTGCTGCTGCTGCTGCTGCTGCTGTGTTGACAAGTCAGGTTTACACGTAGTCAGCTAATAGTGTGCCTGACTGACTGTTGGAGAAACAGCCACAACAGAGAGGAACAAACATGTGCGCCATTGAAAAGGCATTGCTTTCTGACTGCCATCAACGTATGTTTTTTTTTTAGTGGACTCAAAGTTAGCGGAACTTTATTTAGCGAAAGCCAGTTGGTCTCCTTATGGTTTTTGAAGTTAGAGGAAACTAATCCACTAAACAAAAAGTTAGTTCTACTAATTAGCGGTTAGCGGATTAGCAGGATTGTGCCCACCACTGGATGGGGCGATGGTGGTGTTGGGTGGGGTAATGGTGCTGGTGAGTGGGGTGATGGTGCTGGTAGGTGGGGTGATGGTGCTGGTAGATGAGGTGCTGGTGCTGGTGGATGGGGTGATGGTGCTGGTAGGTGGGGGTTATGGTGCTGGTAGGTGGGGTGATGGTGCTGGTAGGTGGGATGGTGGTGCTGGTAGGTATGGTGATGGTAGGTGTGGTGATGGTGCTGGTAGCAGCTATTTATTACTATACTATACAGGTCAGCCATCACTAATGTGGCATCATTGGGACCTGTAGTGTGCTGGATTAGTGAGTTTACTGGATTACAGAGTGGTTAGATTAGAATACACTTAAATGACCTATCAATAGAGACTCGTTCTGCTATGTCTTCCTCATTTTCATCACTGCTTTCTCCTCCACTGGCTTGCTGCTGTGGATTTATAACCATCTGCAAAATTTCTGAGTCAGTATAATAATGAAATTTGAAATTATGCTAATCGAAATTAGTGCCAGATTATTAATGGAACCGGATAACTGATTGCCGGTTTAGTGATGGCTGCCCTGTGTTACTATTACTATACTACAAGTTTTTCAAATCAGTCAGCCAGTCATCACACAAACTCGTATACAGTGGACCCTCGGGTAGGAGGGAGGAAGAGAGAAGGGTGAATGTGCCTTCTGCAGTGATTCTATGATATATACGATACTAAAGCAGCAGGTATTGATAAAGGCTATAGTGCCAGCTAGCGATAAAGTGTAGAATTAACATTGTAGCAACTAAGTTAAGTGAGTAAGCGATAGAAAAACGACACAAAAGTAACTCCAATGTTGTTGGATGTGTATCGGGCCAATGAACATACGCCGGCCTGCTATCTTCCACCGCCCTAAACCTCTGCCAGCATCTCCTCCATCAAACTAACTAGTTAAACTAACATCTCCTCCAAGGTAAGTGTAAATATAAAAGGACCCCAATGGAAATATGTAAGTCACTCTGACTTTTTTAGGTTATCCTAGGTACTTTACACATATGCTGATATGTATGATAGTCTATGTATGTAACTGTATTTGTGTATTCCTGAATAAACATACTTATTTTGTAAATTAAAATGTAAATATTTCTGACCGTTTTTTTGGATTAAAACGCTGACTTTGAGGTGTATTTTCGTATAGTATTTATTGTTGCGTTCTCGTTTTCGTGGTCTCACGTGATAAAATGGAAAACATATTACAGAAATAGAGATGATTTTGATTAGTTTCACGATGAAAACGACCTTGAAATTAAGCTCAGAGTAGCAGAAATGTTTGATTTTTACCAATGTTCAGGAGTAAGCAAATCACACCACACATCCAATACACGTCAACTGGGGAGTCTAATATTCTTTCACTTGTGCACTGATATTATTTATACCATTTTTACAATAATAAAGTAGTCTGCATAACAGTAAATTTTGTACTTTTTGTATGAATAAAAAGTCAAAATAGAAAGCAAGAGTAATATAAGAGGGGCCTAGAGATGTGACTAATGAACAGAGGATATGTTATTTTAGTGCCAAGAATGTCTACATTGTTTATTCTGGACCCTATTTTGAAATTGGCATCTTTTTTAATTTGCGTAAAATTGGCCAAATTGCCAATTTCTGACCGCTTTATTGGGTAGTTCAAATCGGTAAATGGACGGTTTCTTGTACTCAACTGATAGAAAAAATGGAGTTCTAAAGAAATAGCTATGAGTTTGGTCAACTGGAATAACGGAATTGGCCAAAAGCAGGGCTCAAAGTCGGCGAAATTGCCTATGCGTATATGTCGCTGAGACCGCTAACTTCGTGGGAGTGTAATTCCATGAGTTTTCAACCAAATTTCTTAATTTTGGTGTCATTACCACTGGGAAAAGATTCTTTATCATTTCATAAGAAAAAATAAATTTTTTTTTCCAAAAATTTTGTGACATAGAATGACAGTTTCAGAAAGGGGCCTGCGACAGTCAAAGGGTTAAATTGACTTGCAGGCAGGGGCCCTTTAGTGTGTTCTGACGTATATATACGTCAAACACCGTGGCTCGTAAGATGTATATATACGACCGAAACAGTCAAAGGGTTAAAAAGCAGTGGAGTGTGGTCTTGTGTAGAAGTTTGACGTATATATACGTCAAACACCGTGGCTCGTAAGATGTATATATACGACCGAAACAGTCAAAGGGCTAAAAAGCAGTGGAGTGTGCTGTCTTGTGCAGAAGTTTGATAATCAGTTGCACTGCAGCTTGTATATATTCTGGCCCTCTTTCCTTCTTGCTTCAGTGTAACTTGTCATTTGTCCAAGTTGGACTGAAACGTTGCCATTACTGTCCCTCTCCTAGGTGTGATTTTTTTGTGTGTGCATTCAAAAGTATAAATAATAGCTAACCCATGATTTTGTTTTTTAGCTTATCTACTAACTTAGGCATCACTATGTCTCAGTGTTGGCCAAATATTCAAAATTCCATATGAAGTGATGATCAGAATTCAACATTCAAACTGGGCTTATATTGTACACTCTTATCCTGAGAAGTTGATTAGTCATGGTGTAGTTTCTTTGGAGATTTCAGAATCTCACTCCGAACTTTTTTTTTTTTTTTTCAAATGGGTTCCATTTCAACTGGTTGTTGGAGAGTCTCATCAGCTTCATCTAGAATGTCATGTAATATAATATCAAACTGTATACTTAATATCTGACATTTCTTCCTTGTCATTTTAATTTTATATTTTTTCATGCTGAAAAGATAAAAAAAAAATCCATGCTTATTCTGCATTCAACAGTGTGGTGTATATATACTGTGTAGGTTGCACAGGTATATTATCTTGAAAGAATCAATGCTGAGGTTTCTTAAACCTCTCATGTTACCTTGTACTACTGGCCTCCTTTATTCTCCTTCCATTCTCATCACTTTGCATTTACATATTTGGTTTGATTTCCAGCAGATAGTTACTGGACCATTAATTTAGCTTAGTCACATCTTGCAGTATTTTTACAATCATCTTGTGTTTCTGCACTTCATTATTTTTGTCTTATCTTCAGGCATTAACATGTAGAAATTAGTTTATGTAGGTGCAATATAGTACAGTACTGCACTTGTTAACAAATATCAGGAGCAATATTTATGAATTCCAAGATGCATCCTTATGAACTTCTTTGGTAAATCTCCCTAGTCTATGTGGGAATAGTTCTGTGTGGGATTAGCAGTTTGGGAACACTGTAATCATTTGTATATTGGAGTAGTTAGTGAAGTAGAGCTATGCTCATGGTGTTCTATCTTTAATTAATATGCTGTTAATATTATTGTTTTGAAAAGGTGACTAAGTTCCTAGGTTTAATAAAAATTGAATAATAGATTTAGCATTCAGTATTTGTAGTAAAGGATCTTGCAACTTTTTTATCATATACAGTGCATTTTTCCAGTACATTTAATGGACATTTCAAAGAATCTTTTATATTTAATTAATTTTTTCATGTTTTCAGTTGGTTTCACATAAAAATAAACTTTTTTGAAATGGTAGGTAGCATTGTACAGTACAGTAGTAGTATTATGTTGTAGCTAATATTTTTGCTGGTGGGGTCATACATCTATATCCTTTTGTCTATTGAAGCACCCCTTTGTAGAAATGTATGGAGAGTTGTATTTACTAATTTTATTTTGTTATATTTTGTTGCGTTATTTGTGCTGCAGACTGTAGAGGAGCACGAGCCACACTTCATTGCGCTCCACTGCCAGGAGGTCGGAGGCAAGAACTACGAGGAGAGTATGCAGCATGTGGAGCACTTTGTCAGGTGGGGGGCTCACACTGCCTGGGGCTCTGATCTGTGTTCCCTCATGCTTTATTATTTGTTTAGCCTTGTATCATCTTTTGTATGTGTATGTGTGGTGTGGGGCATGTTAGTATGATTATCTGTTTCTAGCTACAGTGGCACTCCCTCTTGCTATCTCCTATATCCCATTTTGTTTTTCAACTATTTTTCTGGAAAAAAAAAAATTAGTGTCCTTTTGGAGTCACTGTTTCTTCAGTTTACAACTTTGGCCTTTTATTTGCCCTGTTGTGCCATTGAAGGGTTCTTAATCTAAGGAATTGAACCTGTGCTCCCCTTCCTTGGATCAAACCTCAATGCCTTCCATTCCCCTAGGCACTGTATGACCCCTACTGCTTTAATGATCCTCCTGAATGTAATAATTTTATATTTAGCAAAATTGGATACATCAGCACTGTACTGCTATCATATTCTATATGATAGTTTTGTTCCCACTACGTAACTGTTTACCTGTTATATTCCATCATGCAAGAAGAGCCTCATACAAAGTCTTGTGTCTATTAACCTGACCTGGCAGACTGCAGTAGGGCAACAAGGATATTGTCAGGTATTAACCCTTTCAGGGTCCAAAGGCAAAATCTGAAGGGGGTGCCCCAGTGTCCAAGAAATTTTGAAAAAAAAAAAAAATTCTTACAGAATTAAATATTTTTGTGAAGGTAATAAAACAAAAAAAAAATTCTGATCAGTACTTACCGAGATATAGAGGCGGGAAGTGGACCCACAATGACCGGGTGGCAGCAACATCAACGACTTCTGCAGAATCGCCTTTCTTTATTTTATGTTTTTTATTCTTTCTTCTTTTCTAATTTTTTTCTTTTTCTAGTAACATTTGTGGCATGTGAGACCAATATTTTGTATAATGTATATATATACACTCACTGTATTGAACACAATAACCGCACTAAACTTATTATTATAATATTGTTTACCACTATTGTTTGCTACAATAAACATGCACAAATGTTGTATAATACTTATGTTCTATTATATATTTACATATGTACAGTCACTGGACATGTTTCTAGAACTGCTACAGCCTGTGGAAGGCTTTGAAACAAGGTAACATGCACAGAGGCACCTTACATTCTTCACACATAAACTGAGTGTCTTTGCATCTTTCTTGCCATAGTTTTGTTTGTGCACAGACAACACATCTCTTCTGAGCAAGTTTTATCTTAGTTGCAGGAAGCTGTATTATGAAATGATCACCTTCCCTCCTCAAACACTTGGGTATATCCTGAGGAGTTCGAGGATGGTTTTGTATAGCAGGTGTTGTTACCTGGTACTTCATTATGAGTTGTCTGACAGCAGACAAACAAAATTCACCATACGGTGGTCTGTTGCCAGTCTTCATTTGGTACATATCATATGCATTGAGCATAGAAATATACATGAGATGGAAGAAAAGTTTCATGTGCCACTTGTAACTCTTACGAACACAATCAACAAAGCCAATCTTCATGTCTCACTTGTCAACCAAACGCATGTTTTGTGTATAATCAATCACTGTCACTAGTTTTCGAATACGTTCATTAGTCACTCTCAACTTTGCCACTGTCTTGCATTTTATTAGGGAGAATGGTTGTCAACAATGTGACATCTCGTTTGTCATGCCACAATAATGCCATGATGTCATTGGCAGTAAACACCTGCACCTCACCAGCACGAGTGCCTGCGTTGAACCTGGACATGTGTTTATGATTAGAATGCACTATGCCACACACATCTGTCTTGTTCACTCACAAGAAATCTCTGAGTAAATGGCTTGTGTACCAGTCATCAGTATATAATGTATGCCCCTTACCAAGATAAGGTGCCATCATGCTTCTCACTATGTCACCTGAGATACTCAATAACAGCCTGGGATCTTTCAATGTTTTACTTCCTATGTATACAATAATATCCAATACCAGGCCACTGTCACAGTCACAGAGTACAAACAGTTTTATACCAAAGCATTTCGCCTTGCTTGGTATATACTGTTTGAACGACAGTCTGCCTTTGAACAAAATCAAAGACTCGTCAATTACAAGATTCTTGAATGGATAAAAGTACATGCTGAACTTTTGTTTCAGATACATAAAAACATTTCTAATCTTGTATAACCTGTCACTTCTGTCAAGCCTGGTTTTGTCAGAGAAGTGCAACATACGTAACAGCAAGATAAACCTGTTCACTGGGATGATTTCACTGAAGGCTGGGGTAGAATTTGACGGATCTGTGGACCAGTATGATTTTATATTATGCTTATAGACATGAGGCATAAGCATTATTGTTGCAAAAAGCAAATACATTTCAGCCACAGTTGTCTCTTTCTGCCGGTGTAGTCTTGACTGTGGTGATATGATCATATTTACCATGGTGTACTCAAAATACTTGTTACTTTCCCTGACAATAGTTTCCATCAAGGGCTGGTCAAAGAATATTTCAAAGAATTCCAGTTCATTTGCAGTGTTTCCAAGGGAAGAAGCTGGTAGGATTCCACTTTGAGAGTCATCAAACTGGTGGGGATTGGGAACAAAATTGGGATTTTGCTGCCAAACCCAGATGCAGTTTGCTGGTGGATACTGGACATCATAAGCTGGTTGTGGTTATAGTTGTAGTTGTGGTGGGGTGGTGGCTGATGCTCCGCTTTGTCCTTGAGCTGAGGAGTCAGTGGCATGGTTCCCAGCCTGGGCTGGCGAGTCGTGCATGGCCATGGCACTACCACTACCACTATCACCACCAATACCACCATGTACTGATGCCTGTGGTCTATCCATACCAAGTGTAGCCACATCATCCTCACTTTCACTGTCTATTCCTGGTGTAGGGTGATGGGATGTACTCTGTCCCTTGGGCACTGCATAGGAAACACTCCTCGAGTGCATGCAGCGGCGTATATACCGACACTTCATTCACTGACTAGAATGATCAATAAGAGCAATAAAATCACAGTCCACGTCTTATCATCATCACGTCAGCATCTCATCATCAGCACGTCAAGTATTAAAAACCATTTGTCTCCATTCACTCCTGTCAAACATGCTCATGCATGCCTGCTGGAAGTCCAAGCCCCTCGCACACAAAACCTCCTTTACTCCCTCCCTCCCAACCTTTCCTAGGCCGACCCCTACCCCGCCTTCCTTCCACTACAGACTGATATACTCTTGAAGTCATTCTGTTTCGCTCCATTCTCTCTACATGTCCAAACCACCTCAACAACCCTTCCTCAGCCCTCTGGACAACAGTTTTGGTAATTCTGCACCTCCTCCTAACTTCCAAACTACGAATTCTCTGCATTATATTCACACCACACATTGCCCTCAGACATGACATCTCCACTGCCTCCAGCCTTCTCCTCGCTGCAACATTGATCACCCATGCTTCACACCCATATAAGAGCATTGGTAAAACTATACTCTCATACATTCCCCTCTTTACGTCCTAGGACAAAGTTCTTTGTCTCCACAGACTCCTAAGTGCACCGCTCACCCTTTTCCCCTCATCAATTCACCTCATCTTTCATAGACCCATCCGCTGACACGTCCGCTCCCAAATATCTGAATACATTCACCTCCTCCATACTCTCTCCCTCCAATCTAATATCCAATCTTTCATCACCTAATCTTTTTGTTATCCTCATAACCTTACTCTTTCCTGTATTCACTTTTAATTTTCTTCTTTTGCATACCCTACCAAATTCATCCACCAACCTCTGCAACTTCTCTTCAGAATCTCCCAAGAGCACACTGTCATCAGCAAAGAGCAACTGTGACAACTCCCACTTTATGTGTGATTCTTTATCTTTTAACTCCACGCCTCTTGCCAAGACCCTCGCATTTACTTCTCTTACAACCCCGTCTATAAATATATTAAACAACCCCGGTGACATCACTCATCCTTGTCTAAGGCCTACTTTTACTGGGAAATAATCTCTCTCTTTCCTACATACTCTAACTTGAGCCTCACTATCCTCGTAAAAACTCTTCACTGCTTTCAGTAACCTACCTCCTACACCATACACCTGCAACATCTGCCACATTGTCCCCCTATCCACCCTGTCATATGCCTTTTCCATATCCATAAATGCCACAAAAACCTCTTTAGCCTTATCTAAACACTGTTCACTTATATGTTTCACTGTAAACACCTTGTCCACACACCCCCTACCTTTCCTAAAGCCTCCTTGTTCATCTGCTATCCTATTCTCCGTCTTACTCTTAATTCTTTCAATAATAACTCTACCATACACTTTACCAGGTATACTCAACAGACTTCTTCCCCTATAATTTTTGCACTCTCTTTTGTCCCCTTTGTCTTTATACAAAGGAACTATGCATGCTCTCTGCCAATCCCTAGGTACCTTACCCTCTTCCAAACATTTGTTAAATAATTGCACAAACCACTCCAAAACTATATCCCTACCTGCTTTTAACATTTCTACCTTTATCCCATCAATCTCGGCTGCCTCACCCCCTTTCATTTTACCTACTGCCTCACGAACTTCCCCCACACTCACAACTGGCTCTTCCTCACTCGTACAAGATGTTATTCCTCCTTGCCTTATACACGAAATCACAGCTTCCCTATCTTCATCAACATTTAACAATTCCTCAAAATATTCCCTCCATCTTCCCAATACCTCTAACTCTCCATTTAATAACTCTCCTCTCCTATTTTTAACTGACAAATCCATTTGTTCTCTAGGCTTCCTTAACTTGTTAATCTCACTCCAAATCTTTTTCTTATTTTCAACAAAATTTGTTGATAACATCTCACCCACTCTCTCATTTGCTCTCTTTTTACATTGCTTCACCACTCTCTTAACCTCTCTCTTTTTCTCCATATACTCTTCCCTCCTTGCATCACTTCTACTTTGTAAAAACTTCTCATATGCTAACCTTTTCTCCCTTACTACTCTCTTTACAGCATCATTCCACCAATTGCTCCTCTTCCCTCCTGCACCCACTTTCCTGTAACCA